TTTTCATCAAATTTAAATTTGATGAAAGATTTAAATAACCGTTGAAAATGGTCTAAGACCCATCCCAACCCACCAAAAGGAATTCAAGGAGGAGGAAAAGAAGAAAAAAAAATTAGTTGGAATTTAATATATATATATATATATAGCAAAACTGTGTCCTCAGTTGGTCTTCAACCTAAATATTAAAGGGTTCAATTTCTTTTATTGCCAAAAACAAAATTAGCTTATAAGAAAAAGAGAGAGAAAAATATTAGTGAACATAACAAATCAAGACCATTCAGATTGTCTTATAAAAAAAAAATAAATTAAAAACTAAAATTTTAGTCAGTTAAATGATCAGCTCCGATCCATTGATTTTTCTTAGATCTTTGTAACCATATGGGTATCCTGCAACCATGGGGGGTGTGAACACTTTTCTTTTCTTTTTTTTGAAAAAAAAAATAATTTAACAAACTTGTTCAGTGGCGTAGTCAGGAATTTCCCTCAATGGGGTCATTCAGACGGAGAGAGAGAGAGAACAAATGAAGGAATGCATCAATGATAATATAACAATGGTTGTTAGAGAATGAAGCATTGATGGAGCAAATGAATGAACGAACACTGAGCTAAAATTGACACCACTAAACAATGAATAGTTCCAAATATATGTGATATATGTGATAGTTATCTAGATTCATTGGGATTATTTTGTCAAAATTGACACCACTAAACAATAAATAACTTCAAACATTGAGATCATTTTGTTAAAATCCAAAACTATTAAACAAAATTTTATATATATTTAAACAAAATTTAAAAATTCAGTGATATCAATTGACACCACTGAATTACATATAGCGCCGTCCCTGAGAACCCCAATCCATGTTTTAAAATATAAGGTTGACATCTATCCAAAATTTTGGTTTAAATTTTTCATATATGTGATATATGTGATATTTATCTAGATTCATTAGGGTCATTTTGTTAAAATTGACACCACTAAACAATAAATAACTTCAAACATTGAGATCATTTTGTTAAAATTCAAAACTATTAAACAAAATTTCATATATATTTAAACAAAATTTAAAAATTCAGTGGTGTCAATTGATTTTTTTTTTTGTTTTTGGGTGAATAACCCTTGAACTTGTTAATATGTTATAATAACATTTTTTTATAATATCTGCATATATAGCAATAAAAAAATATGATTGTCATGTTGCCTGTTACCTTTATTATCTGTTGTCACTTCATTTTCATGTAAAATAACAATAATAATCATAATAACTTTGCTCAGAATTGTCTCGGCCTCAGCTCCATTAGAAAGAAGTGCAAAATATGATGATTTGAAATTAAAGTTGGCAGGTGATTGGAATGTGTGATTTAAGCATAACTCAAGTGATTTGTATCTCTTAACTTTTTACGTGAGATTTAAAATTTGAACTTATTGAGAAACATATCGACCTTTTGATTGTACTAATAAAATTTAACTTATTAATCTTCAATATTTATTATAAAATAAATAAATAAAAATAAATAAAGTGATTGTGTCAAAATTTTATTGGAGATTTATAATGCCAAATGCATTTTAATATATTTTTACAAAAATAAAAAGGTAAACTACACTTTACACTCTTGCATGTTGCACCAAATCTCATTTTGTTTTCTACACATGAAATTATGACAGTCAATCACCTGCACTTCTGGTCAAATTCCACTTTGATCTTTATAGATGAAATTGTGATAATCAACCCCTGTATTTTTTATAAAATCTCACTTTGATCCCTACACAAGTATTAATATTCCCTTTCTGTTACTCAATTGTTTAAATTATTAACAGAATCTAGTCATGTGATAAGAATGTGACTATGATATGAGGGTGAAAAAGGAAATTTATCTACATTTTTCACCAATACACACTTTATTTTAAAATTTATATCAAAATATGATTGTATTAAGCTAAAACAAACGCAAATTGTAAACAATTAAGAAGATGAACTAATGTTTTGTATAAATTAGAATCATAGAACTCTATTTTTCACAGTAACACAATTTTCTATCTATTCATCTTTCTTTCTCTTTGATTTCTTTGTAGCATTTTATACTCTCACTCTCTCTCAGATTATATTGCAGACAACCTCTAGAATCAAGGCTAAGATCAATGAAATTATACCAAAACTCCCAAATATATAAGCTGCAAAAAGTGCTAGATTTGTTTTTTTTTTTTTTTTTTTTGCAAGTGACTTATAAGTTATAGGCAAAGCAACATTATGAAAAGAGATTCAATCTGGTTGGAGGATGAGATATAAAAGGTACTATTTTCCACTATACCATTTGTTTAATAAACTACTTGTATATTTATAATCTCTATACTGTCTTTTACTTTGTTATATTCCATTATCAGCACTCCATAGGGTTGGAAACAATTTCAGTTGAGTGTTTGCTGCAGTGATGGGCTGGAAACAATTTCAACAAAATTGAGAGGAGAATCTAGACTGCAGTCCTTCTGGTTGTCTTTGGTCTATTTGGAAACATAGGAATGACTGTCTGTTTAATAATGTTCAACCAGATACGGGGGAGCTGCGGGAGGCTATTGTCATCAAATTAGCTGTATGGCTGAAAGTTGCAACTAAGGATTATCATTACACTATTAATGATTTTCTTTACAACATTATGCAGATTAGATATTGTTTAGGTGGAAGGATATAATCCTTGTTTGTTTTTGGGGTAGTAATGGGGTGTGTTGGGTTGGAACCTCTCTGACTATTGGTGGAGGCATTGGAGATGCACATGATTGATCTTGTTTTGGGTGTCAACATAATTGGGATGCTTAGCTTTGACAATAATGCAACTTCCCCCAAGCTATATTGTATCTTTCTATTTTTAATAAAATTTCTTTGTTTGCCGTTCAAAAAAATCAGCACTCCATAGGGATGAGGATGATGGTTCTAAATTGTGGTATCGGAACATGTAATGGTATCGATCGCATAATATCGATATTGGGAGTATCAGGTGACATGTATTGGGATTCGGGTGTTGCGGTTGTAAAATTTTAAAGAATATTAACAGAATGTAATGGGTACATCAAAGGTGAATTGCCTATAACGGGATATCACGGCCTGTAATGGTTCACCGTAATAGTTACAAGCCGATACATAAGGGGAACCGACTGATACAGCTATGAAATTGGTTAATACACTGCAATATCGGCGTGTATTTGACTCGGGACCTCCAAAATCTGTTATGTACCGGCCAATACTGTCGGGTATTTAGAACCATGATGAGGATCACCACTAAGGTAGCATGGTTCTAAATATCGGCCGATACGTATCAAAAAAATGGGGTGCCGCGACAGATACAGGCCGGTATACCGCTGAGATTGAAAATCGCAGGAGTATCGGCCGAGTCCCGATACGTATCGGCCTGTAACCGTTACACAAGCCGCGACGGGCCGATACTCACCGGTTCGGACCGATACGGGAAAGAAAAGGCTGAAAAATTTGTAAAATGATTTTTAAAATTTCACCGCCGCGACACCCGATTCCCGATACGTACCGATCGATACTACCGATACCGATACTCCGCGATCGATACCGTTACGTTACCCGATACCGCGATTTAGAACCTTGCTAGGTACAAAACTTGATTTATTTGAGGACTGGAATTTAATTTAGTCTCCTTTTACTACTTTATAAAGATGTTTTGAATTTTGCAAGAAAACATGATTAGATATGTGGGCCTCTTGAATTTGATAAATATGTTGAATGATTCTACAGAGATTAAAGTATGTCTATTTGAATATGGACGTTGTTTATAGACTAGACGTTAGGGTTTGAATCTCATCGACTTAAAAAAAAATCATGGTGCTTAAAAAAATTAGTGAATTTAGTACGTTGATCTGAACCAATTCAAATTGTATAATTTGGTTTGGTTTTTTGAGAGGACAATTATAAGTTCTGTTTCCAAGTAATTAAGAACCATTGATTAAGGTTCGATTCTAGAACTAAGGCTCAAAATAACTAAATAGAAGCTGAACTGTTCCTTATAAACGATATTTTTACAAATATTCATTTAGTATTTAGTATATAATTAATATGAAGAATGTGATACATTTTATAAAAAAATTTAGTTCCAAATATTAGATTGGTTAAATTCATAAATTTCTAAAACTATAAAGAGCAATGACTCTTGATTCACCTTAAAACTGAACCAAACCAGTCTGTGAGTATGCCTATAAAAAGTATGTCTATTTGAAAACTAAATTTCCAAGTCTAATTGGTTCAAAGAAAATGGAGCAACAGAAAATAAGTGAAAATATAATTCACTTAACTTTTTAAACAATAATTTTTGGTATTGTTTATCATTTGTGGCTCTTGAGAATGCTAAAAACTTAAACGAAAGTAGCTTAAAATATCATTGATAGACAGAAGGGATAGAATCACAGGATTTTTATATTCCACAACCATGAAGGGTACAGCTAGGAAGTTCTTTGAGTGTACAACATCTTCTCTATCCAATTCCCCTTCATTTCTCTTTTAATTATTCAAAGTTTGTCTAACATGTTTCTTCAATAAAATAACCAACATTCAAACCCCCCTTTTTATATACATACATATATATATATATATATATACATATAAAACACACAATTCAGAAAGTACCCAAACACTTGCAATTTCCAAAAATGCATAGAGAATTGCTAATTGAATGAATAAATATGCCACAATAACAACTAATCAATTTTCAAAACTAACCCATATTTTTCATTCAACAAACAACCCAAAAATTTAGATATAAAATTTCACATGCATACATTTTCATCCGCCGTTAGTGTATATATATATATATATGTATTTGTGTCCAACTCCTTGGGATGACATAATAAAAGTTTGTTTGATTTCTACTAACTTCCTTTCAAGATAAATGTTGTCATACTATGCAACTTATATTTGTATGCTTCAAAAACAATTCAATATAAATTAGACAATCTATTAATTAGATACTAAAGCTAATATAGAATGTAACAAAGATGCTCATACTTCATACAATTCAAATTACTACTTGATCAAGAATCTTACATAACCAATGAAGATTTTTTCTTCTCAATTCTCATACCCTTCCTTCAGATCCTCAACAATAAAGTTAACCTTGAGAAATATGAGTAAATATTATTTCTTCAACTTCCCTATTGCGCCCAGGCGCCTTTCACAAAGCTTCAATCCGCTTTAAATTACAAAATCAAGTATAAAAAAGATAAGGGAGAAAGCCTACTCTTGCCCTCAGACAACAACCCTTGAAATTAATTTACTTTCGATGTCTTTAATTTTTGTTTTTGTTTTTTTAAATTACAAGATTCATATTTATTTATTTATTTGGAGGAAATTATTTTTGTGCAATCACTGTACATGTACAACAATCCCAACCACAAAACTAAAAAACTATAAAAATCAAATTCCCATTTCCCAATTCCCACACACAAATAACTCTGTCAAACATGAATTTATGCTAGGCAGAAGAATCACAAACTACCTCAGTTTCCACTTCCCTTCTGTGGAAATTCCTATGGCAGCCACAAGCAGCGCACGTTAGCACCCCATTGGTCCCTTCCTCCCCGCTTGCCATGAATTCTCTACAACCATCCACAGCGTATCCTCCGATGTTTGCTGCATGGTTTTTCTGACACTCTGCATATCGCACGCTCCTATAAACCGAAGTACTGGTACTTTTGCTAGATCCATCCCTTCTGACGACTACTTGCCGCTTCTTCATGATTCTGTAACCCTATTTCTCTTCAAAGAGGAAGCTAAGTTTTCCGATCAATTTATTGATCAAAACCCAGAAGATGGTTTCAAGAATGGTGTGGAGAGCTTGAGAAAAAGACAGGTTTGAGTGGGTTGACACCATAACCTAACCCTAGAATGTATATTTATACTAGTGGAGTAAGCTACCACCAAGCAGATAAAAAGATGTCATGACTCATGTGTAGCCGCCCTATTTTAATCATATTCCATCTCTTTTAGGTTTACTTTGGGGCAGAAATTCTGTCTGGGGCATCCACTCCATTTAGTTACCACTCACAGCATGCCACGTCATAGGAAAGTGCTAATTTCACCATTTAATTCCTAAAACAAAGCAATTTTTGTCACAAACACAAAAATTGATCAGAAAATCAAACATAAAATACACACAATTACCCCCCTTGTGTTGTAGTTTGTAAAATATGTCAACGAGTGTAGCATTTTTCTGTCGAATGATCAAAGTGCCCTAGATTTTGCAACGTGTCACCTCCTAATTAATCTGTGTTAACTCTAGAATGAGATGGACAAAAAATCCTAAAATTGTCAGTTCGAAATGATGGTCCAACTGCCTCAAAAGACTTTTAGAGCAAAGGATTGGCCATTTTCTGTGCAATTAAGGGAGCCATAATATGATGGGAAAGCAAAAAGCTTTTTATTTGCTAGCAATAACACTGATTGATTTGTTATTGTGGAATGAGTCATTAAGTTGGCTAATTTTTGTTATTATTGTGGGTCCAAAATGATATTTAAAAGAGAGGTCGCTATGGCCCTTAATACTACTGTGTCAACAACCATTGTCTCTAATTGCCTAAGATTCTAATAATTAAGTGCATTACCCACCATGTTCAAATGAAATGACCCCTCCCTTGGTCCTTCCTCTTATCAAATCCAATCCAAGATCTATACTAGCAACAACAATTTATGGGGTTGTTGTCTACGAAAATATTTGTATATCCCCTCTAATTGACGTTGTTATTTTATGAAAGAAATATCTGCTGATATAGAATAAATGTTGATGAATAAAACTGTTTAAAAGTGAATTCTATAAACAAATATTGTAAAATCTTATCGATTCATATGCATTATGTGTCTAGTTTTATTTTCGCAGCATCATTGTTTAAAAAATAATCTCATTTCATTTTTGTAGGACTATTCAAGTGGTCCATAAGAAATAGATGGTCAAGAATCATCTGCTTTAATCAAATTTATCTGTCTTAATACACTTTTAAACATAATTTTTTTTACACGATTACATTGGGACAAATAAAATTTATAACGTTTCACTCACAACTTATAGCACTTCAAATCAATCTCTTCTCCCTGTCTTGTATGCCTCCTCAATCATTCGAGCACCTCCCAAAAAAAAAACCTCTCTCTTCCTCTTTTTTGGTAAATGACTTTAGAGAGTGAAGACAATAAAATAAAATTTTAGGGTTTTCCCCTATTTGTATAACCAACGTATAATAAAAATCACACAATTATTATATATATTAAAAGAAATATTATTAATTAAATACCATTTAATTAAAGTATATTTGAAACAATAAGTTAGAAGAAGCCTTCACCATTTGAAAGCAAACAGAAAAAGATAAACCCAAGATGCAATCATAAATCAAAAACATGTGCACAGCTTGTTGCCCCTACAAATTAAATGAAGGGTGTATATATGAATATATCAGAAAATAGGTAATTAATTAAGTTGGGCAGCTTATTATTATAAAGGTCAGAAAGAGAGCGACAAAAACACGTGGTGGTTAATCAAGAACTTGATTTAGTTGACGTTGATTAATCATATTAATTAAAGGGAGACATCATGAAACACTTTGGATATATATGTACACTCTCAATTATAAAATATCATAACCTCAAGTAGTGAAATATTTAAAAAAAATTAGAGAAATTTATTAGAAAATCCTTTTTTAAGTGTTTATATCTTAATTGGTCTATAAAATATTATTGTATTCCAATAAGTCCTATTATTTGAACATTTGATCTACTAAATCCTAATTCTTACATTTAAAGTATCTTATAGACATTTCTACCCTTACAAATATGTTTCGAACGATTAGCAATTTGGTGATGTGAACATTCATATTTTACAATGTGAATGTTCACATTGACATGTTAACATTCATATCATGGAACATTTACACTGTAAATGTGAATATTATTAGGGATATTCTGGTAACTATATTACTCATAGGACTTATTGGAATATAAAAAAATAATGTAGACTAAATAGAACATAAGTAGGTGAAAAGAGATTTATGAAAAAGTGTCCCAAAAAATTATGATACAGAATGATATACTTATATTGAAAAATATCATTTGAAAATAAAATATTCATTAAAATAATACTTAAATATAAAAATAACACGACCATATCATTCTAGTAAAAAATTCTGTAAAAAATTATTTCTCATGTTTGAGTGCAAACACACTTTTTAGCTATGGAAATTACTACTAAAAAAAAAAAATTACTACTAAAAAAAAAAAAAAAAAAACAGTTTAGAATCACTCATTAGAATGATATGATAGTAACATTTTAGAAAAATTACGAAAAAAAAAAAAAAAAAACCTTAGATTTTGATTTTTGTAACAAAATAAATATTAAAATTTTAATTTTGTTAATTCAAATCATAATCTTTTAATTTGTTTTCAATCTAACTTATGTGCTTATATTTGTTAAGTAAAATTGACAAAAACAAATGGTATTTTAGTCATTAAATTCAATAAAAAAAGATATTTTAGACATTTTATTACAATTACATTGAATTTAATGACAAATACCTTTTTTCCATTATTTTTACTTAACGAAGTAGATAAATAGTTTAGATTGAAAATAAATAAAAAATTAAAGTTTAAATTGATAAAATTAAAAACTCAAGATTTATTTTGTAACAACGGTTAAATCTTTTCTTTTCTTTTCTTTTTTGTAGTTTTCCCAAACATTTTATATATATATATATTTTTTTTGATGGGTTTTTGTTTTAAAGTGATAGACACACAAGTCTATCACCTTATTCTATATATATTTTTGAAAAAATTACCAATAAGTCCTATTTTGCTTTTAAGATTACTATTAAGTTCTATCAAATTTTTATATGAATAACTCAATCCTATTTCTTATAAAATGATTTCAAAATGTTCATTCCTTCATAGTGGTGTGTATCTTATCCCAATTCTACCCTTCTCATTTAATATAAACAACAATTTTAACATAATTAAAATTATTAATATTATATTAAAAAAATCATAAATAATAATTGGATCGAAATAGCTATAATATAAAAAGCATATTTTTTTGTTATTTCAAATTATGAATTTTGTCTCTGAAACAATTTAAAATGGCTAAATTCTATAAAAATTTCAAAGAGTTATAAAAATAATACTGTGAGAAATTTTATATTTCTCAATGCATGAAATAGTTGATAAATCTTATACTTATACTTTTGTTTATGAAAATCATTTAATTTCAAAAATTAAAAATAATTTTCTTATAAAATAAATTATTCATGAAAAGTAAAATATACTATTATCAACAATTGAATTTTTTTTATAAAAATTTATGAAATAAAAAATAGTACTTATTTATTAATATTGAAATTTGATATAACTCAATAGTAATTTTCAAAACAAAATAGAATTTATTGGTAATTTTTTTCATTGTGATTTATCATTTTTTAATACAATACTATAATTTTAAAATTAAAAAAATATAATTGTACTTGGATTAAAAATATTTATGAAATTGGTTTTCATATTATTATTATTATTATTATTATTTTTGCCAAGATTGTAGGATGTTAACTTATTAATAAAGTTAAATTATAGCTGAAGGAGTCGTTTTATCAACTTGAATCTTTGACTTTTCTCTCACCATACCCCAAGGTGTGGCTCCAAGATGATTGGATCAAATCCAAAGTCTTGTACTTCATATTAAATGAGAGGTAAAATTCGAATAAGATACATCATTACGGATGAATGAACATTTTGAGAACATTTTATGATAGGATTTAATTGTCCATATTGAAACTCGTAGGACTCAATAGTCTATATATATAAGAAAAATGGCCTTTTTAGTAAAAAGCCTTTTAGGAGTTCCAAATCCTCATTCTAATTTTATTGATTTTCTTAATTTTAAATAATTACTTTTATTTGATAATCTCACATCGGGAAAAAAAGAAAAAAAAATGAGTTATTTTACTTATATAAAGAGAATCTTATACTCTCATCCCATTTAGTGAGGAGCCTTGTAAGAGTTTTTATATCTCATACTAATTTTCTTGATTTTCTTAATTTTAAATAATTAAGAAAATCTCCATTAGAAAGTGAGAAGCCTTCTAGAAGCTCCAAATCCTTATTCTAATTTTATTGATTTTTTTAATTTTAAATAATTATTTTTATTTGATAATCCCACATCAGGAAAATATAAAAAAAAAATGAGTTGTTTTACTCATATAAAGGGTATCTTATACTTCCATCCTATTTAGTGAGGGGCATTGTGAGAGTTCCAATATCTCATACTAATTTTCTTGATTTTTTTAATTTTAAACAATTAAGAAAATCTCCATTGATTAACTTTTATTTGATAATCTCATATCGGAAAAAAAAAAAAAATAGTGAATTGTTTAGGTTGAAAGCTTTTATCATAGTTTAGGTTGATGGTTCACCAAACTGTATAGTAAAAATATGTCTCTAGCTTTTTTTAATAATTAATGTTATTATTATAATAAAAATGTTTCGAAATTTGAAGACCGTCACCCACTTTCCCCAATTGGATCCATCTTGTAATCTTAACAGCAAAATGGGATTTAATGGTTTTTGTTTGTTTGTTTGTTTGGATATCATTAATCTTTCTCCTTTTTTTTTTTTTTTCAGCAATTACGCTTTAGTTATTGCGATTATCAGCGGTGCAATAACTACTACGTTTATTCTTAACGCCCACTTATACAGCAGGCAGATGCAAGATCCTCGAAATGTTGGGTTATGTTTGGTAACAGAAAATACTTTTCTCGGACTAACATATATATCACATATGATACATACATATGATCTCTTGGAAAAATATTTGGTATAATTGATTATTTGGCCAGTTTAGAATTCAAAAGGGGTACTAAAATTATGTCTGATGCAGAAAATTTATATACAAAATTTGTATAGAAAAAACTCATCTACAATTATGAGTCTTATTTATAT